GCCCGTCCCAGCTCCTGCCTTCTCTTTACCTCTCCCCCCTGACTCCTCCCTAAAAAAAATCGTTATGATTTTATGGATTTTTAAACATATTTGATTTGCAACTATTTTGAAAATATGTGCTGCTCCTCAGAGAGAAGAAGGGAGAGGGAAGGAGAGAGAGAGAAACATCCATGAGAGAGAAACATGGATTGGTTGCCTCCTGAACACACCCCACTGGGGATCAAGCTGGACCCGGATTCGAATTGGCAACCTCACGGGATGATGCTCAGCTAACGGAGCCGCTCCGGCCGGGCTGATTGGCAATTATTTTTGACGCTCAAACTGTCCAATCTGTAGCCAGTGGGAGTCCCTTCAGGCCGGGGCCGGTGCCCCTGTGACATGCCCCATCCCCCCTCCGTCTCTGAACACCTCCCCGCCATCTGACCCAGGCTCACTTCTTGCCCTGGTCCGGCCCCAGAATCAGCCGTGTCTCTAAGGAGCCCTGGTTTCTTCCAGTGGAAAAGGATATTTAGAGGCTCCAATAGGGCAAGAAGCTGGTTGTGTGCAAAGATCAGTAAAATGATAAGCATCTACTCAGACTGATCAAGGAGCGGGGAGGGAGCAAAGACACAAACGATTGAGACCGGGAGTGAACGCAGGGACATCACTACAGATCCTACAGAGGGTGGGAGGGAATATAGAGAACACAGTCTGGGGCCTGGGGGTGCTCGTAGCCGCCGGGTTGGTGACTATTTCTCTTCCTAATTGTTCAGACCTGTGATAAGAGTGCAGGCTCTGAGGTCAGGTTGCCTGGAGTCCCAGCTTGAGCACTTTCTAGCTTCTTGGGCACATTACTGCTCCCGCTCTGAGCCTCCATTTCCTGGTCAGAAAAGTGAGGATAGTAACAGGCCCACCTCACAAAGGCTATGAGGATGAGCGTAGAGCGGCGTCTGGCATGCCGTGATCACACATGTGGAGTTATTCTTCCGAACGCCCCAGGCCCCTCACGCCCTGGGCACACCTGGGCAGTGTCTCAGCTTTATCTCTCACCCCTCCTCCTCGTGCCCCTGTGTCCAGCCACCCGGTTCGTGCGTTTCACAGCTTCAGGCCTCTTCACACACCATGCTCTCCGCCTAGGTCAGTGGTTCTCAACCGTCTGGCCCTTTCAATACAGTTCCTCATGTGGTGACCCAACCATAAAATTATTTTCGTTGCTACTTCATCACTGTCATGTTGCTACTGTGATGAATCGTCATGTAAATATCTGATATGCAGGATGGCCTTAGGCTACCCCTGTGAAAGGGTCGTTCGACCGCCAAAGGGGTCGCGACCCACAGGTTGAGAACCGCTGGCCTAGATGCTCTTGTCAGGCCCACTCCGCAGGGAGCGGCTCTGAAATCAGCCCAGAGCTTGTGGATCCGTGGCCGGTTCCTCACGTCCCCCTCTGGGGCCCACACGTCCGCTGCCTGGCGTTTCCCCGCATCACTGACTGCTTGGCGCCCAGCCCTCTCCCCACGGGGAGCTCTGAGTGGGGGGGAGTGGTCTCTGGCCTGTTTCTGGGTCCATCATTCCTGACACCTGGAGGGATTTCAGTGACGATGTGTGAGATGATGGGAGGGGAGAAGGGAGAAGAAAAGGGCAAAGGATGCCCTCGCCGGTTTGGCTCAGTGGATAGAGCGTCAGCCTGCGGACTGAAAGGTCCCGGGTTCGATTCCGGTCAAGGGCACATGCCTGGGGGGTGGGGGGCGTGCAGGAGGCAGTGGATCCGTGGCCGGTTCCTCACGTCCCCCTCTGGGGCCCACACGTCCGCTGCCTGGCGTTTCCCCGCATCACTGACTGCTTGGCGCCCAGCCCTCTCCCCACGGGGAGCTCTGAGTGGGGGTGGTCTCTGGCCTGTTTCTGGGTTCATCATTCCTGACACCTGGGGGATTTCAGCAACGATGTGTGAGATGATGGGAGGGGCGAAGGGAGAAGAAAAGAGCGAAGGATGCCCTCGCCGGTTTGGCTCAGTGGATAGAGCGTCAGCCTTGGGACTGAAAGGTCCCGGGTTCGATTCCGGTCAAGGGCACATGCCTGGGGGGTGGGGGGCGTGCAGGAGGCAGCCAATCAATGATTCTCTCTCATCATTGATGTTTCTATCTCTCTCTCCCTTCCTCTCTGAAATCACTAAAATTATTTTAAAAAAGAAAAGGGCGAAGGAATATATTTCTTCCGGGCGGCCTCTGCATCCTTCCCTTGTCCATTCCTTGGTCTTCCACACCAGTCCCCCTTCTCCGTCATTCCGCCGTTAGAATGGAACAATCACCTTCATTCTCCTTCAGCCATCACCTCCCGCCAGGCATCAGCAGTGCTCGCTGCTCCTCCTTCTCCCCATTCCACCGTCCTCCTCTTCCCGGTCCGCCTCTCAGCTCCCTTCCTTCTCCTCCTCCACCAGGCAGTCCTCCGTCAACCCCCTCTCCTTCTCCCGCAGGCAGCTCTCCGCCTGCGCATCTCCCTCAGCCAGTGATCCCAGTGGGTAGCACCCAGTGGGGAGTGTGCAGCCACCATGTTCAGCTGGTTGAAGCGCGGCGGGGCGCGGGGCCAGCAGCCCGAGGCCATCTGCACGGTGACCTCGGCCCTCAAGGAGCTGTACCGCAGCAAGCTGCTGCCCCTGGAGGAGCACTACCGCTTCGGCGACTTCCACTCGCCGGCCCTGGAGGATGCCGACTTCGACAGCAAGCCCATGGTGCTGGTGGCCGGCCAGTACAGCACGGGCAAGACCAGCTTCATCCAGTACCTGCTGGAGCAGGAGGTGCCCGGCTCCCGCGTGGGGCCCGAGCCCACCACCGACTGCTTCGTGGCCGTCATGCACGGCGAGACCGAGGGCACCGTGCCGGGCAACGCCCTCATCGTCGACCCGGAGAAGCCCTTCCGCAAACTCAACCCCTTCGGAAACACCTTCCTCAACAGGTGGGCACCCGAGGGGGCGCCTCTCCCTGTCCGGGGGGGGACCCCCTTTCTGTCCCTTCCCCGCCTGTGTTTCTCCCCTTTTCGGCCCCAATTCCTTTCTCTCTTCCTGAACCTTCCCAGTCTGGCCTCGGCTCTTCACCAGGGGAGCCAGCCTGCCCAGCTGGGTTGCCTTGGGCAAGTGTCTTGACTTCTCCGTGCCTCCCTTGTCCTCATCTGGCAAATGGGGATCACCCTGGGCCCCACACCACAGGGCTGTTTGAGGACTAAGTGAGTTACAATACATGAAGGTGCTGAGAACAGCCCCCGGCACAAAGTAAATGCTCAGTAAACATCAGCTCGGATTTTATTATAGTTTTTATTCTCTGTCCCATCTCCCTTTTCGCTTGAAGTCTTCCTTTCTCTGAACCTGGTTTAAGCTCCGTGCCACCCTGGTTTCCCCTCTTTTGTGTCCTCTCCTCCTGTCACTCCCTGCACTGAGCCCTGCCCTTCCTTCCACCCCAGGTTCATGTGCGCCCACCTCCCCAACCAGGTCCTGGAGAGCATCAGTATCATCGACACCCCAGGCATCCTGTCGGGTGCCAAACAGAGAGTGAGCCGTGGTGAGTGCGGCTGGACCCCTGGGCCTGAGGGAGGAGGGGCTGGGGCCTGGACCCCTGGGTCTGAGGGAGGAGGGGCCGGGGGCCTGGACCCCTGGGTCTGAGGGAGGAGGGGCCGGGGGCCTGGACCCCTGGGTCTGAGGGAGGAGGGGCCGGGGGCCTGGACCCCTGGGTCTGAGGGAGGAGGGGCCGGGGGCCTGGACCCCTGGGTCTGAGGGAGGAGGGGCCGGGGGCCTGGACCCCTGGGTCTGAGGGAGGAGGGGCCGGGGGCCTGGACCCCTGGGTCTGAGGGAGGAGGGGCCGGGGGCCTGGACCCCTGGGTCTGAGGGAGGAGGGGCCGGGGGCCTGGACCCCTGGGTCTGAGGGAGGAGGGGCCGGGGGCCTGGACCCCTGGGTCTGAGGGAGGAGGGGCCGGGGGCCTGGACCCCTGGGTCTGAGGGAGGAGGGGCCGGGGGCCTGGACCCCTGGGTCTGAGGGAGGAGGGGCCGGGGGCCTGGACCCCTGGGTCTGAGGGAGGAGGGGCCGGGGGCCTGGACCCCTGGGTCTGAGGGAGGAGGGGCCGGGGGCCTGGACCCCTGGGTCTGAGGGAGGAGGGGCCGGGGGCCTGGACCCCTGGGTCTGAGGGAGGAGGGGCCGGGGGCCTGGACCCCTGGGTCTGAGGGAGGAGGGGCCGGGGGCCTGGACCCCTGGGTCTGAGGGAGGAGGGGCCGGGGGCCTGGACCCCTGGGTCTGAGGGAGGAGGGGCCGGGGGCCTGGACCCCTGGGTCTGAGGGAGGAGGGGCCGGGGGCCTGGACCCCTGGGTCTGAGGGAGGAGGGGCCGGGGGCCTGGACCCCTGGGTCTGAGGGAGGAGGGGCCGGGGGCCTGGACCCCTGGGTCTGAGGGAGGAGGGGCCGGGGGCCTGGACCCCTGGGTCTGAGGGAGGAGGGGCCGGGGGCCTGGACCCCTGGGTCTGAGGGAGGAGGGGCCGGGGGCCTGGACCCCTGGGTCTGAGGGAGGAGGGGCCGGGGGCCTGGACCCCTGGGTCTGAGGGAGGAGGGGCCGGGGGCCTGGACCCCTGGGTCTGAGGGAGGAGGGGCCGGGGGCCTGGACCCCTGGGTCTGAGGGAGGAGGGGCCGGGGGCCTGGACCCCTGGGTCTGAGGGAGGAGGGCGCTGACTACACGGGACTCCCAGGTCAGAGTGGGGAGGGCCGGGTCCCTGCTAGGACTTGCCTGTGTCAGCGCCCGGAATGGAAGGGAGCTGGTGGAGAGAGGCTGTGAGCCTCCCGCGTTGGCACACGTTGCCAGTGGGGGAGGCGGTGGGTGAACACGTGTGAACAGGCCGCAGCTGCACGTCTGGGCCCGAAGGACTGAGAGGGAGCGATCAAGAGAGAGAGGCAGGGAGAGAACCACAGCGTCAGAGACAGAGAGAGGTTCAGAGAGCGAGGCAGGGAGGCAGACAGGAGGCCCAGAGGGGAGGCCGAGCGGGCTGGGAGGCCGTGGGCACTGGGAGCTCCAGGCTGGCCTTGGCCGCCGATGGGGCTGGGAAGGGGCTGGGAGGGAACCTGGGCGGGGGCCAAGGGCGGCCTGGAATTTATAAACAGCTGTGCAGGGGGAGCGGGGGGGGGGGAATT